TAATTCTTTTTCTGCTTCTAAATGCATCCCCTGGCTAAAATCAGCCACGAAATCAGCTAGTACTTGAGACTTTATAGCGGTCCTGGGTTGATAAATAACTTCATACTCACTTAGTTCTATAGCCCATTTTGCTAATCTTCCTGAAAGTTCGTGTTTATGCAAAATATTTCGAAGCGGAAAAGCAGTAACTACAACAATGGGATGACATTGAAAATAAGGTCTTAACTTTCTAGATGCCATGATCAAAGCTAATGCTAATTTTTCTAGCTGTGGGTATCGTGTCTCAGCTTCCAATAAGGACTTACTTACATAATAAATAGGAGATTGTTTACCTTGGTCCTCACGGACTAAAACAGCACTTACTGCAACTTCAGATACGGCCAGATAAATGAGAAGTTTTTCCCCTACCTTCGGTTTTGCCAACAACGGTGGTGTCGCACCTCCTTTTTCTGCCCCCGCGAGGGTGCAAGAGAGTTTTTTCCAATTAAAGGACAGTCGAAACGGGATTTGTTTATTTGTTTCAGAGTCGCCACCTGGGAATTTTAAGGCGTCCCAAGTCACTGGTTTTAATCCCTGAATCGAGGAGAATATGACTCTGTTTGTTATTCTGCGAACCAGAAATCCTGAGTAAGGAATTCTGTTAATTCGGGAGAAGGTGTTAGGCATTCCCAAATTCCGTGGTTCTAGCACGGTCGCTTAACCATTTTTATATTTGGCTTAATTATCTTGATTTACTAAATACCCTTTTTTTTGTTACCTGATTTTATTACCGCTTTTGTTTAGATTGTTTACAATTATATAAACGAATCACGCGTACGTATATTCGTATTATATACCTTTTATAATTGTAGAGAATCGTGCCACGCAAAAGTGTACACAAAAAGGTTGATAATATTTGTAAGCACGTGATTTTTGCTTCACGAGCAATCACTTCAAAAGGAAAACAAAAAATAAAAATAGTGACAAATGACCCCGTGGTACAAATTTTTCATGACATGTATTGCTAGTCATTTGTGGGTCTGTCCATTTTGCATTTAATCATTATCAAACAAAATACAGAAAATATGTGTCATTAAAAGAAAATTCAAAATATATATATGTGCATCGTTCGTTCTAGGTTGTGATTTAACTTACTTAAACATTTTAATTTGGTGTGATAATTATGTTGAAGTGCTACATTATTATTTGTTTTAATTTCATTTGTTTTATTATTTATTTTGTTATTTTTCATTTTTTTAATTGAAAAACAAAAGGAAAAGAGTTGAAAATCGGTTTGGGCCCAAAAATAAGACAAAAACAGGCCCAAACCAGCACTCAAGTCCGGTCCAAACCAGGCCTACCCTGACCACCTCCCGAAACGACGCCGCATCATGCGTCTGATCTGAGCCGTTCAACCTCTTGATCCAACGGCCCAGGACCCCCCTTTAGTAACCCGTTCCCAAACCCGACCCAGTAACCATTTTAGCCCAGCCCCTCACTTAAACCAAACGACCCCGTTTAACTATCAAACGACCCCGTCTCATTTCTCACCATCAGATCCAAGCCGTTGAGATCATCTGATCTAACGACTCAGATCTCATCCCCTACTCCGTATATAAACCCTCTATCACTCCCCACGCCCCCTATCCGAACCCCCCCTT